CCCCAAAACCCCAAAACCCCAAAACCCCACATGGTTCTTTTCTAATTGATAAGTCTAATTCCTCTATTTTGTAGTGAAAATCTTTCTGTGAATGACCAGTTTAGCAAAGGAATAAGACTGCTCAGTCAAGAAGAAGGAATTTTAAGTAGAAATGGGATTTTAGGATTGCAAGAAGATAAATAAGCAGATAAGTTTGGAGCAAGAAAGATACTTTCTGTTTCCTTCAAAGCCATCGGAAATGCCTACTTTTATAGCAGACTCATCTCCGGAATTAGCTTTATTTTCCTCTTCAGATTCTTATCTTTGAGGATGCTTTCTAACATATTAAAATGTTCATTTGTAGTAATATTTGCAAGAAAGTATAGCTAAAGACTTATATCTTACTCGTGACAGGATAATTGAAGAAGGAGGAATGGAAGAAGAGAGTTAAGGGGAATTTTAGTGCAGGAATTAGGCAGTGGGGTTAGAATATGGTGCAGTCTTTGGGGTCGGCAGGGTTGGAAGAGGAGTGGGTGTTTTGGGAGGTGGGTGAGGTGTAGGGGTTGGGGGTTTGGGAGATTTTTGGGGGTGGAGTGGGCTTTGGAGTGGGTTTTGGAGTGTTAAATTTGACGGCTTTTTCGAATTTGTATTTTTTGAAGATTTTAATTGGTTCTTCTTGAGGTAATTCACAGTTTTCTACGCTAATGTTTTCAAGGTTCTTCTTCATATCTTCGGATTGTGCTAGACCTTTGACAAGGTTTTCGAAATGAGTGTCATTGTCCTCCCAATCACTTAAATTTTCATGTCCTCATCCTGTTAAATCTAACAATTCCAGAGTACTTCCTTCTAAACTATCTCCAAAGTCTGGAACAGAGAATATTTTTATCTTTCATCTGATGAAACCAAGCTTTCTCTTATTTTTATTAAGACTGATAAGAGTTTCTAGTTGCTCTTGACTCATTGAAAAATTATACAGAAACAAGTCTTCAGAAACCTTGCTGCTTATCTTAATCAATTCTTCCATACATTCTTCAATAGGACTTAAGCTTGATTCATCGTTAAAATAAAAAGAGCCTACTTTATCTGGAAAATAACTCTTTAAGAAAGAATTCACAGTCTTTAAATCCTCATATTCTCAGTTTGCAATTTTTAGTCACTTTAAATCAGGTATTTTCTTTTTTAAATTTTCCAAAAACCTTAATTCCTCCTTATTTAAATAATTAAGATATAACAATATTTCCATATCTTTTCCTTTGAGGCTTTCTTTGAATGCGTCTAAATTGTTATATAATCGTTTCTATTACAATAATAATAGGAATCGCTCCCATAGACCTCTCTCAATTCTTGTTTTGAATACGTTTCAATCTGAGGTTCACTTTCTTGCTTAAAAATTTCTTCGGGACTACCCAAAGGCTTTGAAGAATTATTAATTGAAAAAGATGTCCTTTCAGAAGACTCCTGAACAACAGCCTTGTATTTTGATGTATTTATAACTTCTTGTTTGGTTTCTTCTTTGGAATAGGGAAAGTTTTTCTTTGGTTTCCCTCTAAATTGCTTTGATTTACTTATGCCTTTCTTTTGTACGCTTACACCTTGATTTAGTTGTTTTATTTCTTGTTTTAACGCCTCGATAGTTTCTTTATATCTCCCCACATCTTGTTGTCTAATCTTATCCTTTTCCTCTAGTTGACCCAAGAATGTCAATTTCTGGTTCTTCATGTTGTTCTTATGATTCTTTTCTTTCTCCTTCAGGTTTCTACTATTTGTATCCTTTAGTTTTTGGATGTCGTTATTTTAGGTCACGGATAGTCTTGTTTTTGGATGTGAGTTGGGATTTTAGAGTGGTTTTTTCTTCGTCCTTTCTCTTCTGAATATCATGTCTTTGCTCTTGAAGCTTCTTCACAGTAATCTTCAATATATTTGCATACTTTTTATCCAGATCTTTGATGATCTCATCAATTGTCTTCTCTCTTACCCCTTCAATACCATCAAAAGCCTCTTTCCAATTCTTCGCAGCACTGAATTTCAAAAAGACTTTATCATTCATCAGTAAATCCTCTAGTTGCTTAGCTTCTCTGAGCAATCCCTCAAGCTTGAAGTACTGCTTCCTGCAGATACAGTCTTTCAAGCGTGAAGATATATCAGTGAGCGACTCTTGGAGGTTTAGATTGAAGCTTGAGCAGTCTGAGGCAGGGACAAGATTACCGTAAGTCGCTAAGGATACCCCAACCTCCTTCCTACAGTAGTCAATAACCTTCAATAGCATCTTGGCTGATTCCGGTGGAACTAGTCTAATAGCTTCCTCTTCAGAGTACTTCAAGTCTCGATGCAAAGAGCATAGGTATAACTTCTTCTGGGATAGATAAAACAAAGAATCAGTGGTGCACGCTGCACTCATGCAAAGTGGAAATTTCATATTGGGATTTTCCATGTAATTTTGTAATAAATATTATAAGATTTCAATATTTTTGGGTTAAATAGGGGTTTTGGGGTTTTGGGGTTTTGGGG